GGGGGGGGGGGGGGGGGGGGGAGGGGACGTAAGGAGTGTGGTCTTTATGAAGGCAAAAAACAAAAAAAAACGCAGAGTCATAAATGCGTGACATGGCCGAGAGCAAAACAAGACACAATAGACGAACGCGCGCCCGCGGGGAGCGAGGGCAAAAAAATTGGCAAGCGTGTTCTAAGAAAGAGGTACGGCAACAAAAACGAGTCGAGTCGGGACGGGGGACACACAGACAGGCGTCGGATAACCATGTCAAGCTAATTTTAACAACCAACACCGCCACGACACACGCGGACGAACACGGGATCAAACAAAAAAACGGCACAGTTGCGCGGTGGTCTTCTTTCTCACCTGCTCTATCACGGTGGGGTCGGAGGCCATCGCCTTGATCTGCTGAGCCATGATTTCCGGGTGCTCCACGACCTCCATGATCTGCCCACCAATCAAAAACAAGCAGCATCACCCAAGAATAAAATAAAATCAGTGAGCAATCCCACCAACTACTAAAAGACAAGATGCTACCACTGCGTCTTCTTCGCCGAGAACAAAACTCGGGAGCCATGATGCCGGCACAATGTTATGCCTCCGGCTCAGCCGGATTTGCCCCCAAAGGTTTCAGGAAAAACACGCCACCACACCACGCCACACCATACCATACCACACCATACCATACCATACCATACCATACCATACCATACCATACCATACCATACAGTGCCAAACGAACCGGGGTTGTGAAAACCGCCCGGGAGAAAGAGGCAGTTTCCGTATACAGGCAATTCACCGGACAAAGGTCAGAGCGATCGTCAACGTGGGGGACCAAGCACCACCACCACTCGCAACACCAACCCCATCACAACAAACAGGGTACACGAGGCCGCACCAAACCGCAACGCAGCTCAACCCCACCCCCCCCCCCCNAAGCACAAGATGCCGAACACCCTTAGCAGGATGCAGCGCACCCTTCATGCGACTCGCCGAATACCTCACGGCGCTTCGCGCTTGGTGATGTGAGAGCCTGGTCCGGTGAGAACCCGGCGTGCTCCGTCCCGGCTTTGTAGGGATGCGAGGTCAATGGTCTAACGACTAAGGCATGCACGACTACCCCCCCCCCGGTACAGTGTACTGCTGTGCCGTCGAGCTGGACGGAACGACCGTGCGTGCATAAGCATAAACATCGATTTAACCTCCAGCACCTGGGCAATCGTAGGTTGGTCGAGTCCGGCAGCCTGCAGCGTTTCCAAGACCAAGCGCCGCAGCTTCACAGGGTCCGCCACGTCCATTCGGAAGGCCACCATTTTCCCGATAAACTCTGAAAACACAGGAAAAATAAGCAAAAAAAAAAACGAAAGCCGGATGGTTTGATGTGGGGGTTCATGAGCTGACGCTATGCAATCATCTATCCCAGGCTCCCATGTGTAAAGGGGAGGAACTTTCATCAGTGGAGGGAAATAAATGATGTAAGTACGTACAGAACGCCCGAACCATGTTCTAGTGACAAGAGGGGATGCCCCTAAAGGGGGTGGAGAGAAAGGGATTGGAGGCACATCCAAGGCACTCTCTCTTGATCTGAATGGTTCGCAGTGTTTCCGATAACCTCCTGCGCGAAAAAACAAGCGAAAAACTGTGGGATACCCCATGCTCCGCCATGCCTCTTCAAAACAACATATGTCCCTCCTCTCTGCCTGTCTGTCCCTCTGCACTCACTGTCGACGATCTCGTAAAACTTGGTCTTGTAGAGGATAGGGCTGTCCTCCAAAGCCAGGAGCGCCAACAGCTGTGAACGAATATTAAGAGGGAGAGACGATGGCACCCGAAGAAACGACATACACGACAAGAAGGGGCAGCACAAGACGGGGAGGAAAGTGCGACACCCGGTCAGAAAATGTGATGTTCCCAGTCAAAAGCTAAAAAACCAAAAGTGGTGTACCATCAAGAACACCGTCAACTGGGGGACCCATGGAAAAATCGTAAAACTGTGTTACCGTTAATGACACATCTCAGCAACAGCAGTACCAGAGCAGTGGCAGGTCGCAGTGGAGGGTACGCTGTGTAGTGTTTAAGGGCAAGGCGCGGGCTTCACATCCATCTCTGAGTCCGTTTCTCACAAATCAACCCAATTTTCCAAAAAAAAAAGCGCTCGTCCAACAGCGGTGCATACGGCTGTAGGGCATCTATCCGCTGCATAACAGAGAGGATCATTCGACATGGTGTCCCCATGGCTCGCACCAACGGCACGATGCGACCTGCCGTGGACGTTGTAGCACGGAACGGCACTGGTACACGGCACTACCCTACCGGTATGGTATGGTATGATATGGTATGGTATGGTACACAGCAGGGTTTGGTACGGCAAAAAAAACGTGACCACCCACGCACTCCGCTGTTCGGGGGAAGAGATGACACTACTGCAGTAGTCCCGCGGGCTAATACTGCTGTACAGCGAAAACCCGGCTAACACTCTTGCTGCAAAAAAAATTCAAAGGAATCCACGAAACGCCTCCCTAGACCTCGAATCCTGCGGACCCCCCTCCATCCGCGCTTTTCTACACGTGCAGCAAATATTAATTCTTTCTGCAACCCCCCCGCGCGACCGCCAGCGGTCGTGCTTCGCCCCTGCACGATAGTTTATCCGCTGCTGCGGTAACTTAACGTGTGGTATACGGTTCGTTCGTAAAAGTGGCAGCGGATATGAATACGGTACGGGATGCGGGCCACTCACATCATCCCTTTCCACAGAGGCCATGCCGTCTTCCCCTAGAAGTGCGCTCAGCCCTGAGTTCTGAGCAAGCTCCCCCAACACTCCTGGCTCCGCAAACTGGCTGATAAACTGGTGTTTGCGCGCAACCAGGACAAGAGAGGAATAGCGAGCGAGAGCGAGAGCGCGCGAGCGAGAGGATTAGGCACGGACAGGCAGCGTTGGACAGAGAGGGAAGGAAGGGTTCCTCGCGTAAGGATCGACCCCCAATCACCAGGGCAAAGGCGACCCACGCTTTGCGCACTACAATATCGCGGTTGTATCAAACCAGGTCTTAGAAAGCTCAGGCCATTGCAGCACTGGAAGCGCGAACGCGGATCGCTCGTGAATTGGTCGACAAGTTGATCAATAGGGGGGTGAGCGGTCTACGTCAGGGTGACATACTGCTGTATGCACCCCGTACAAACTTGTTTCGAAAGCGGGACTCCCAACAATCGATCTTCCAACACAACGAGCTGTGTATTTGTCCGGAAAAGAGGGAATTCAAGAAATCGAACATCTCACACAAAGAGGAACGTGAACGGCTCGACTACCCGCTTCACGTCCAGTCAAGGTGTCGTGGAGCGCTACCCAGGCGCCCCCTTGCACAGGTCTGCTCTACTCTCGGCCGCCGCCCCGCTTGCCTACCCTGTACCCTATCCCTGGTCATGGCCGGAAACCCGGGGCCTCGGCCCCCAACACTTAAATTCAAAGGGAAAAATAATAAGCCGACGAAATCGCCCCTGCCTCCCTCTCTCGGTTTGTCGGGAAGGATCTTTGACCCCCCCCCCCCTGCCCAATCTCCT